GCTAGGCCGCTGGTGCCCCTCACAGGCCTGCGGTGCCCCTGGAAGGACTGTGGTGCCCCTGCCCCTAGGGGTGCTCATGGGCCCAACAGGCCCGTTGTGCCCCTGACAGGCCTGTCGTGTATACTTGCTAGGCCTGTGGTGCCCCTGCTTCCTGGCGGGCCTGTGGCGCCCCTACAAGGCCGTAGGTGCCCCTGACAGGTTTGTGGTGTCCCTGGAAGGACTTTGGTGCCCCTGACAAGCCTGAAGTGTCAAGGACAGACCCTTTAGACGCCAGGGTCAAGTTCGTCGTACTGACAACGATTTGCTTACCTGATAACGTTCCTGGTAAGTACTCAAGTCACTACTCAGCGTCCACAACATATATACACATAGCACATTCATATACACTTGCTTACAATTGGTAAATGTGGTTATGGCTAAGAGTTAAGATACTGACTAAAGATAACAAATAAAAAAAAAACTGAAAATGGGGCACCACCAAAATGAAGTGGACGAAATCCGTAACCGTTGAGTTTTTAATTTTGGGTATAGGTAGGGGCACCACTTCGATTCATGACCCTCCCCTTGGAGTTTTCCTGGATCCGCCCCTGGAGCAATGAACTATTTATTCAATTTATTCCCTAACATTACAGTGCAGGTTGAGCTGTCCATGAGCTGTCCTATATTGAGAGTAGTTACACGAAATGCTTATGGCGACATAAGGTGTTTTTTTTTGCTATATTCTTCACTGCTATATTCTTCACAGTCATTTCTAGCACCAAAACAAACCCATCGCAATGCGTAATCACTTTCAATTTAAGCTTACGGTCCACCCACCCAGCCAACTTTCTAATACTCGTAGTGCAGCTTCGCCTATCCGTAGACCGTAGCAGCATGATCCTCCGAGGGTAACCGTTTGAGCGACTGGTTGGCCTGTCCCTCGCGCCGTGGCTCTCCCGTGCCAACGCGATTGGATCAGTAACTGCTCGCGGCGCACCATTCGGTGGTCGGCATATGCCCCATTTCTTCCTCGCATCCTCTCATCTCATGGCCCTAAAATGGTTTGAGGTGACCACCGGCCTAACCCAGCAAAAAGAAAAAAACAGATAAGTAAATAGTTTTACTGCCACTGACCCCTAAATTTCGAAGCGTTCTTTCCGACAATCAAAATACTTAGGCATTCTTCCACACATTGCCTACCTATAACATACACATATTGTCGATTGGATTTACAACCAAACTGTTGCCATGCCGATTGCCATTAAACATTCACCTCAAGACCAAGCTGCCTGGCCCACTGTTGCGTTGTTTTTGACGTCTGAAGTGGAGCACCTCTATATGCCTGAGCAGTGAGCATAGCGCGACTTCTGGACTTGCAGCAGTTATGGTTTTTAAAACGGAACCGTTCATGGCCGTTTGGTTCAGGGCATCAGTTCTAGTCTTTTTAGAATATTACCCCAGTGGCATTCTGCATTAACGGTCATCTTTCGGGGCACCACCTGAAGTTGAACGAGTGCACAGTGGATCATAAGGTCTCGCTTCGATTTTTTGACGGATGTTTAGCCGTCTCCGCTGCTATAGTGCGTTGCTGAATGCTGCCAGCTGACGTCAACGGCAACGCACGGCTTTTTGGGGCGATTCAAATGGCGTAATACCTCAAACAGATATTGGTAGGACAAGAGGCGTTCCAATAGACTTTTTTGTTGAATATGTTATTATTTTTGACTGGCTTGTCGTTTGGTCGTTTGGCAACCACCCGCTCAGCGACTACGTGCATTCTCTGTTTTGGCCGCGCACAGGCTTGTTAGTCAGGTTATCTCTCGCTCTCTCTCTCTCTCTGGCTGCGCTCGCCATGGTATAACTGCGTTCTGCAGCTGCCCACTGCTAGACGCTAGCTGCTAGCTTCGGAAAGAGCCATGTCGAAATCCCGGAACCAAGTTCAGAACTGAGCTCGATTCACCGCGATTGCTTATTGGCAGTTTGGGCTAACAACGGAAAGCGCTCCTTGCCGATTATGGATTGAGCATTGAGTCGAGTCGTGACCGCTCACCAATGGCATACGGTCGTCCAGTTTAACAGCCAAGGAACGTCGTAAAAACGTACGAGCATGATGCCCGTATCTCATAATAATTTATCGCAATAGCACCTACTGTTAACGGAAAATAGATGTTCGGTCAATCCTGGGACACCGGACTTGCCGTGCGCGCGGGGGTGAGCCCACGCGCTGAATACGGCCACCCGACTGGTCTCCGGCAGCAGTCGTCGGGCCATCACCAAGGCCACGAGCCATGTCACATTTCCGTATCGGCCTGCGCTGTTACATGAACCACGTAAGGAGCTCAGATGGTGTATTTATTGGCAATGGCATCGATAGGTCCGGTGTTCGCTCGTCCAGAGTTGAGGGAAAACCGCAGGCGACAGCACTATGAACTTATAGCCAGTACCTTTGAGGAGATGACAGCATACTTGGACCACTGACAGCAGGGACACCTGGTCACTGGGACTCCAGTCCGAGGGGAATCCTTACCCGGACGTCAGAGGCCAAGGCAGCACCGTGTCGTGCCACCCTCACCGCAGCTGGCCCGACCCCCATCACCTGTTGTCTTTGTAACTCGACTGGGACTCCGGAGTCGGGGCAGGACTGACTCGACTGTGACTCCGGAGTCGGGGGCGGGGCTGACTCGACTGTGACTCCAGAGTCGGGGGCGGGGCTGACTCGACTGTGACTCCGGAGTCGAGGCGGGGCTGACCGTCCCACGCGCCTCCCCGGGGGCTCTGCCGGCGCCCTCTCCGGCTCGGGCCGGGCCCCACAGACGCGGCAGGGCGGGCCGAACTCCCCGGAGCCCACGACCCGGCCCCAGCGTCGGTCACACGCCGTAATCGGCCAGATGCACGGCTGGCGTGTTCGCACGCCATTTGGGAGCCGGTCACCGGGCGCAGACAGCCACGTCGTCCGCCAATGGTGCGACAGTCAAGTGGCTTTGATTTCGCAGTACTACGGGCCGGCGACACGTAATTGGCAATATGGTTGATACCGCTTCATGCAAGCCCCCAAGATGGTCGTCGGCCCGGTATTCCGCAGAAATGCAGCAATATGGACCACCAATTATTTAGGTCAGCTAGCGACTTCCCGGGCAAGGTCGACATTTACCTTGCCGAGCTGCTAAAAAGCCGATGTTTATAGCCGCAGTCGATGCAGCAGGAAAACAATCGCACACCTAGCCGGTGGTGCGGGCACACCTCGGTGGCTAGAGCCGTTATAGCGCTAATTATTGCACCTAAACACGCGCGGTGGGACTGGCCCCCGGCCGCTCGAATCCAAAGGTCACTATCTGTATGACCTTCACAGACTAGCGCAGGCTGACCATTCCACCTCAACATAAGTTTTGAGTTGTCAGTTGAGATAGCCAAACTGGGGTCCCTGGCTCACACTTACCGATTTTGGCAGTCACAACATCGAGAAAGGCTTTAATTCGGAGATATTTAATTACAAAGTTGCAGCACTATTGATTCAGAGGGGCTAATGCATTTGAATGTCTCCGCTGAATTTGTGACGTCAGCGCAGACCTACACCTAGCGATTTTTAAATCTTTGGTTTACTAAGTACTTACATCTTTCTAAAGCAGTGGTGGTATATGCTATATTTGCACGCAACATTTGCCGCAAGTGTCGCACTTTTAAGAAGTACCAAATTATTGCTTTCAAATGACGTCGTGGGAACAGCGGAGGTCCCAAAAAAGTAAACAAAAGTTTAAGTGCAATATCTTGAAAACCGGTGAATATTTTTCGGTGAAATTTGGTAGAGATTCGTTTTTGCTCTTTCTGAACCAAACGACATCACTGTTATGCCGATCCATTAACTTTTTTAAAGGTGGGAACAGGGAGGGTCTCTTTAAGGCTGGATGTTACCAGGAACTCCGGGAAGGACCAGGAGCTCCTGGTGCGTGGATGGAGAGCGACCAGGTGATGGGTCCAGCTCCTGGTCAGAATAGACCACACTTAAGGAACATACTCCTCCAGCCAAACTGAAAATCCCAGCCCTACAAAGCTCTTGCATGACTGATGACACCCCAGTAAAGCTCCCGTTAAAAAGCAGCACCGAATACAGAATGGTCGCCAACAGGTACGAGCATTCCTATTTACTGAAACTGTAAAAATACATAGCTTTCCAATACATCGCGTGACGCTGGGCCGAATTATTTATCAAAACATGTCCACTAAATGCCGTTCAGCTGGGAACAGTTTAGTACAAAAGAATGTGACCATCAGTTATGCCGGAGTTGGCGGCACTGGCGTGCCTGGCCTTCCTCAGCCTTCACGAAGAGAGCCGCTTGCGGTCACGGGCGCCCGAGTATGTGACGGGCGGTGAGTCAGCTCCGCGGCGCCGAGCCGGCAGCTGCAGCCGATCTGCTGGCCATTGTTACCGGGTCGCCAGGGCAGCCGGCCATCCGGGAAAGCCCCGGCGGCGGCCTCCGCGGCGCGGCGCGCACCGCAACACGCCGCGCCGACATCCGCCTCCATTTGGCCCTGCAGTAAAAAGGTGCCCGCGCCGTGACGCACTGGCCGCCGCCGGGGAAGCACCGCCGCCGCGTCTCCGGCGCCCAGGAAAACCGGCACGGCTACGCCGCGCGCCCACAGCCGCCAGGAATGGCAGCTATTTAGAAAACAGGCGGAATGCACTTGAACAGTACCGTGATGTCACAGGGCCACAGCGAGTCGCCGAGTGACGTGGGCCGAATATTTGTTTCGCTAGTTTTTCAGTCGGCGTAGACGTGACGGCCTGCGGTCAACTGACACTGGAAACTGATCTCCGTTACGTAAGCAGATGGGAGCCCCAGGGGCTCTGTAGTACAGTTGTAGGGTCTTACTGCAACACGGGAACGAGGATATGTATTTTGAGTTCAGGCCTACGAGGGTCCATGTCCATCAGATTACTCTATTTGATCTTGAGTAACGATGACAATGCAGGATATTTCCCAGAACGCTCATCAGCGAAATACAACATTGAAGGGAAAGAAAAGTTGTTACCGTGCATTTATTTACGTCATAAATGCACAGAGTACCTGGAAATCGATGCATGAAAAACAAAAACATTAATCATCACAGCAGTTTTGTATGGGCCAACTCAGGACCACGAACTACACTGCCACGGGTTTATAATCCCAGGGCGAAAACAACCGACCAAAACCTGGTCACGCATCAACACTGCACCATATCGGACATAAAACACCGCCCCTCGGTCATATAGATCGCTCCGACACGGACAGACCATCGAACCCGGGACCCATGGCGAAGGCAAACCTTCCGGGCTGAGCTCCTCAGTCGTGGCACGGCTGCGGAATGTGTCCGTGCTGGTGCGGCGTGGTTTCGGCTGCTGTGGCCCTCCGGGCGCGGCGGTGCTCAGAGCCGGCCGGCGGCGGCGGCCGCTCGCTCGATCTTCTGCTGCCGCAGCTGCCGGTAGGCGGCCACCACGCGCTGCCGCTCCTCCTCCAGCGCCGCCCGCTGGTGCAGCGACTTGGGCGCCGTCGAGCTGCGCGCGCCCGCCTGGGCGTCCGTAAACAGCCGCTTGAGCAGCAGCGACTTGCGGCCCGGCTGGCGACACAACCAGAGGCACCGGGCGCGCGTGCAGATTATATCAATTCCATGTTTTACGTTACACCCCGCGACCTGGTGGGGGGGGGGGGGCTATTTTTTGCCCCCCTCCAGACTTTTCGATATATCTCCAGAACCGCTGCGCCGATCGTCACCAAACTTTCAGTACCCTCCCGGACATCAATTTTACACATTGTGACCAAAAAATTTCCAAAGGCTATGATAGGTTGGCCGGAAATGACGTCAGAGTGACGTCATGTTCTGCTGTTTTCGACCCAAAAAAGGGCTTCGCGGGAAGAGCTGTCAGGCCTATAGCTTTGCAAATACAGAAAAATAAAAAATAAAAGCTGTAGAATCAACAGGGCTACAAAACTGCAATCTCGGATTTTTGAAATTTTTGGATTTGGACCCCCAAAAATCAAAAAATAAATTTTTTGGATATAATGATCGAAAAATCCAAAAAGTTTTTTGAATTTTGCAAAAACCGGAATATATGTGATAGTCCTTACCGCCTTCCATCTAGGTACATACCAAATTTGAGATTGATACCTCTTTTTTTGGCGAAGTTATAGCGAAAAAACTGTTCAAAATTGATGACGTCAAATTTTCAAACTCAATTTTTAGCAATTCTAGACCCCGTAGCGCAAAACAAAGACCACCATTAGAGCCGTGACGAGCTGCATCGAATCAATACCCATTTTATGCAGAACTATCAACTTTGAAATTTGACCTTTTTTGGCCTGACCTTAACCTGACCTTGACCTGAACTTCACCAGAAAGTGACCTAAGCCGTACCTGATAGTCTTATAACCAACACCATTGAGTTGGAAATGAAAAATTGGCCATAAAACATGCATCACACAACCTTAGTAAAGTTGGGCTCATGTGACCTGACCTGTGACCCTTGGTGACCTGACCTGTGACCTGACCTGGTATTGTCAGTGACCTCTAATAGCAACATATCTACTAGGCAACTGACGCCCTATCGCTGATTATCGACAAAATGCGTTTTCCTCGGTGTTATAGCGCATTCCCTAGCAGACCCGTGAACGGTGAAACATTTCATCTTTGACCTGACCTGTGACGTCATCGGTGACCCCGAGGTCAATGAAATTTGGTTTCCTTCGACAAATTTGATAGGCCTTTCGAACGCCGTTTGAATTTTGCGGATCCATCCAGTAGTTTCGGAGATACGAGGGGGGGGGGGCAAAAAATAGCCCCCCCACAAGGTCGCGTTATAAACAGACCCCACCAGGGCGCGGGACACCTTACGAAAACCGCACTATCGCTTTCATAAATAAAAAAGTTTTAAGGACTGTCGAACTGCCTATAACTCACATATCACTGAACATTAACCGGAGAATTTATGCGCCACGAAAGTTCGTCTTTGTTTATCAGGATATATAATGAAGGTCAACTGAAGCTCGGACTCGATATAGCGAGAACCTGTCTACCAACCTATGTACTAATAACACGAACGACACCACGGCCTCTGGACCGCCCGGAGATGACTTACCCTGGACCGCTCGTCATCTACCGGTGCCTTCTTGGGCGCCACCTTGAGCTCCGGCGGCCTCTGGACCACGTCACCGAACTGCACCCGGTCACTCAGGTGGGCAAAGGCGTCCTGCGCGGCGGACACGGGCGTCAGAGGCGTCCAGCGGACAGGACACGGGCGTCAGAGGCGTCCAGCGGACACGGGCGTCAGAGGCGTCCAGCGGACACGGGCGTCAGAGGCGGGCACGGGCGTCAGAGGCGTCCTGCGCGGCGGACACGGGCGTCAGAGGCGTCCAGAGGACACGGGCGTCAGAGGCGGGCCGCGCGGCGGACACGGGCGTCAGAGGCGGGCCGCGCCGCGGACACGGGCGTCAGAGGCAGGCCGCGCGGCGGACACGGGCGTCAGAGGCGGGCCGCGCGGCGGACACGGGCGTCAGAGGCGTCCAGCGGACACGGGCGTCAGAGGCGTCCAGCGGACACGGGCGTCAGAGGCGTCCAGCGGACACGGGCGTCAGAGGCGGACACGGGCGTCAGAGGCGGGCCGCGTCCAGCGGACACGGGCGTCAGAGGCGGGCCGCGTCCAGCGGACACGGGCGTCAGAGGCGGGCCGCGCCGCCGGGAAAAGGCCACACCGCTAGATCCGACGATTGCAGCACGGTGTCCAATCCGGTCGCACGTGTCCATAGAGGGCACGGAGTGTACGATACACGTTAACATACAACAACGAAAAAAATATCTCGTATCTCCCTCATCAACTCATCTGTTTAGGTGACAAGTACTAAAAGCCGTCACACCCAGCTGCTCACTGTGAGTGTACGACATATCTTGACAGCCCTTTTAGGACAGTTTGAGCTGACAGACAGCAATGCTCAACAGAACAGCTGATCAGGAGCAAAGCGATTTCAATGATTTCGGTTTTTATGCTGGCACAACTCCCCTCCGATAGGCGCTGGAAACATGGCGCGACAACTGTAGCTGGCCAGCCACTCTGACTCAGAATCAGGTATAGAGTGATGCCTAAAACGCAGGCGTCTGACACGCGCCATTTGAAGTTAGCCTAGTAATAATAGCACGCACACCGCACGGGGGTTTTGCCGAATAGTTTTGTTGTAGGCTAGTCGACAAACCTAATTTAGTAGCGAATCGGTTCCATTTGCCCAAATTTGATCTGCACATCGAATGTGTCAAATAAAAAAGAAAGTTCTTAAAAGAAGCACACGTTTGGCTCTAGCAGGCACACTAACTGATGGTTTTCGCCCGGTAAACAGCTACGCCATAATCTGGTGACCAAAAGCTGGGGCGCTGAGCCGTCAGTCAGGCAGTAGCGCGTATGGTCACCGTCTGCTGAAGGCTGGTGCATGCCGCCGTGAACATTGATAACGATTATGAACGGAACGCGCATAAAATCTTTGACGACGTGCATGCCAATACTCGACAAATTTTTGACCAAACGTTTAAAGGTAGTGTGCCACCTTTGAAAGTTTTCCCATTTTATTTTTCCTAGGATAAGAAGCTTCTGTTTTTACCTAATATCGCAAAAGAAATCAAAAACGGCCTGGAATTTTCGCCTAAAAGTTTATCGGTTTTTCGATATGTTTAACAACTGTAGTGGGCTGAGCTGCAAACAGGCGTCGGCAACAATCGCGAATGCGGCGCACATGTGACAATAAGCAAAGGTCATTATAGAGTTACGACGTACGGGAATGAGTTATCAGCTGTCTAATCGTAGACAACACAATGTCGAGCCTTAAACTGTAAGCCTGTATTGGTATTGTTTCTTTTATTTGGCTGTCGAACATTATTTATGGTTTGAAATATGATTTTATGTAAAATAATTGATATGAAAAAGCCGTCTCTTAAGTTATGACCCCATTTCACCACACGCAAGTGGCAGAAATGACAATGATCAGCTGACGCATTTTTCTTGGCCGAAGTCAGAGCGCGCAGCCCGACGCACCACCACCGCACCACAAAGTATGAGCAGAAGCCGCGCCCAAAGCCAGGGCCCCGGTAACGTGAGGTAGCCGAGTCGGAGCAGCGTGCGCTGACCCAAGCCGGGGCCGCAGCTTTGGGCGCGGTCTAGCGCATCCCCGCGGGCAATCACATGCCACCGGGAGGACGCGCGGCCCCGGCTTGGGTCAGCGCACGCTGCCTCGACTCGGCTACCTCACGTTACCGGGGCCCTGGCTTGGGCGCGGTCTACCGCACCACCTAACAGGCGTGTTCGAAACCGCAGGAGATGATGATGAACGGGTTTATCGAAACTTGATTGGATGAGCATATCGGTAATAGCGATTTCAGTGTGTGCATTTATTGTTCATAGTGGTGTGAAATGTGGTTGGGGTACGACCGACAACCCGTCGGGGCGAGTTTCGCACTGGGGGCGCCGCTTGAGCCCAGCTACGACCCCGCCTTGTGATACGCAAAGAGACACCTTGTGGTTGCTAAGACATTCGCAGTACAATTAATGCTCTGTAAATGACTTTTATTTCGGGTAAAATCCTTCCATAACTCATACTGGTATCGGTCATGTGATGTGCAGATCGACGTGCACCCACGACGCTGCGGCGTCAGCTGGCCGGCGCCCGCCTGTGATCTGACAATCGGTGCCCCTCCCCTCGGGGATCGGACACCGCGGGTCGGGCGGCCTCTGCCTGGGCCGGCGGCCCCCCCCCCCCCCCCCTGTGGCGCCGTCCCTGTCTGACAGCCGGTGCCCCTCCCCTCCGGGATCGGACACCGCGGGTCGGGCGGCCTCTGTCTGAGCCGGCGCGGCGGGCGCACTGTAGGCCGGCAGCCCGAAAAAGCGCTAGAAATTCCCCCAAACTGACTGTCCGCAATATGAACAAAATAGGTATCATTTAATCCCAAATTGATCGAAGAATACGATTCCGATGCCATTTTTGCCCTAAGGTCGAAATTGAGGTGGTCAGTTGTCACCAAACACAAGACTATTTAGACTCGCTAGTGGCCACCACATTTGCCGATTTTAATGCTAATCTTTAGTTGATATTTATTAGTTGACCAGTTGTCGTTTTGAACGCAATTTTCTGTCAGACTAGTTCAGGGCACTGTTGTTCACTGTACCAACAACATTCTTACATATTGCATGGCTTTTCTGCAAGATAAGCTAGCTTTTTGCAAGCAGCTGCAAGACCTAAATAAAAATCATATCTAAATTTTTAAATAGACTTTTAAAAAAACGTTATTTCGAGCAGCTAAAAATAAACATCTTATACTAGCCGCTGATTACTCATCTTTCGTTCCATATAGGTACTTTGCTGCTTTTCCCTGCTACTTTTCGAGATATGCGCCAGTAAACCTCATGATGTAGGGGCAATTGTCACCTCGCCGCTCTACTGGATGCCCGGCGCTCTTTATAGCGCTGGAAGTTGTGAAAAACTAAGGCTTATAATCTGAATAAAATATATGTCCCTGAGCTCAGAATTGATCAACGCACACAATGCTGTCAAAATTTTTGGGCCAAACTAAAAAATTCAGTCATTATTAACCCCCAAACACAAGTAAGTGATAATCAACAACAACTTGCTCTTAAGTTAGACTTTTTGAGAAATGTTATTTCGAGCCGCTAAAAATGACCGTGCCATACAAACCACTAATCATCTTTCTGTCATGCCCTATTCGCGATTTTTGCTAATGCCTGCTACTCTTCGAGGTCACGTGACATCACCATTAAAAGTAAATGGGGAGATAAGGAAACTGTTGTTTTTGCGCATGGAATGATCTCAAACTATCTCAAGCACACGGAATCGTGATTTCATGCACTCCTTGCAAGATCCGATGCTTTACTTTTGCATTTTTGACCTTCCGTGACGTCATTTATGACGTCACTACGGTCATAGGAGTTTCTTGTCAATAACTCATGATCAAATTGAGCCAGCGACTCGGGAAAGCCACCAATGGACTCGGGAAGACCTCCCGAATCGAATGATATGCGACATGACCTCTTTCGACCAACTTCGTGACCTGGGGGTGCTGACCTGACCTTGACCTGAGGTCAACACCTTAAGTTGAACTCACCCGAACAAAAAGTATACCATTCGACGCGCCTGAGCCAGGCAAACACGATGGTGCCAAAATCGATGCTCTGTGACCATTTTATGCGAAATTATTTACCAAAAACCAAACCCTACCTTGGGCTTTTTGACCTCACCTCAGAGGTTACCGGTTGGCATGGGACCTTAAAATCGGGTATCAATCGTTCCGTCTTGAAACGGCGCACACGCTTGTTTTTTCCGCGAGGCTCTAGCTCCATTACGGGCGAAACGGCGAAAAGGGGTCGTACCAACCCTCCCCCCTCGGCCGGCCGAGGGGGGGGGGGGGTCCGACAACAGGTCCGGCGAGGGTTAAGCAGCCCCACTTCGTTTTTAGCATGTTTGCTTGTCGCTGAGATCAACAACTCAATCACAAATAATTTCTAGCACTTTTCCGGGCCCCCGGCCCAGTGTGGGGCGGCCGGCGCCGCGGTCTGGAGCACAGGGTCGCTCCCGTGCCTTCAGCACTACCAACAATGGAACCAGCCGGGAGCAGCCATCAGCTGCTCACGCAGGTCTTCAACGAAAATGCACAGGCAGGGTAGTGTGGGGCGATTTGAACATATTTTTTACGTCTTCTCCGTTGTACCAAATTTCAGCTCAACCCTAGATGAAGAAAAACTGCTTCAGTAGCGCAAGTGTCACTTGCTTTCACCATGCAAGCCTCATTTTTGGACGAGCGGAGCATACCTTGAATGGCATAGCCTCTTTTCTCCACCAAGTCACGGTGTGTTCAAATTGCCCCGCCGTGGGGTAATTTGAACATACTGCCTTTACCTGTCAAAAAAAAAAAAAAAAAAACGATAGTCTCGCCAGCACCGATGTTGTTTGACCCATAAACAAATAGGCAGAACAATTCTAAACATACCTTCACTTGAAAAATCAACACAACAACAAAAATTACAGTTGCAGAGTATCAATATCTGCACGCTACACACCGGTCAGTTGACAGAAGTCGCCTCTCTTCAATTAACAGAACGTCTATCATTTTTGTTCGGTAAAAACTCTCCCAACCTTACTGCATCTGTTATAGTGGTGCCAACCGAAACCTGGACATTTGGAGTTCTGATTTTGTCCAATGTCCAATTCGGAATTAGTTGGACAAAGGTAGCAGACTGGACAACATTGGACGATGGCTTGCTACACTTCAGCTCATTTTATAAAGTAATCGTGCATAGCATTCATTGGCGAATGGAAAGCTTGTTAAGCTCTCAATATAATGAACACTTTCCGGCTGGTAAAATTACATTATAAGCCATTTAAATGACAGTTTTGAGTGTTGATTAATGCGTAACTTTCGGACATATTTGGACAAATAGCTGACTTTAACATTTTTGAACGGAAATCAACGAAAATGACTGACACTAGACGGATATAGACGTATATTTTTTTATAAAACTGGCATCACTAATCTGCTACTGCTTTGGGTCGAAAATATTGGCAAAAAAAAAACTGGGAGCGTTGTTTTTTCGGAGCTATCCCTGTCTTCACTAAAATCCTCACACTATGTTCAAATTACCCCACGCTAAAAGTTATTTTGCCATATTTAAAAACAGGTTTCGAAAGCAAATTTCTTGGATTGAAGGCAATGATTAGGTCATTGTACAACAAAAGCCGTTGCGTATTAGGCGCTAGCAATGCAAGATTTTGCGCTGCAATGAAGTTGCAACGACGTGTTTTGAGGCGTTTTTACTTGCGAAATTGATTTTTTACAATGTGCGTCAACATCTTCATTCCCTGAAACTTTAAACCCCGTTCATATGATAGCCCTTTTAGATACGATAATTTCCCTCATTGGTCTTATTATCGTGCCACTTACGGATTTTCCGTAATTTTGTGTTTTTCACACTATGTTCAAATTACCCCACCCTACCCTAATGGACTGCTTACGGAGGCCTTTCCGCCAATCAGCGTTGGGTGTCTCGAGCGCTGATTGGCTGGAAACAGACGCGTCATATGTGGGTGACTTTTTTGGCGTTCAGTGGGCGCGTTATTTATTAGACGGCAGCCTACGGAGAGTGACACGGGGAATTGAAGGTCAGCGTTTTATTGCTTCGTACATGTAAAAGAAGGTGTTTGTCTGGGTATTTGAGTAGCATTTAAAGTGACCATCCCACCTTAAAATTAGTTTTGAGTTGAGATAGCCAAAATGGGGTCCCTGGCTTGCACTTATCGGTTTGAGCACTCACAACACCGATAAATGCCTCAAATCGGAGATAACTATCTAATTTCAAAGTTGCAGCACTTTGGATTCAGAGGGGCTAATGCATTTGAATGCCCCCTCTGAATGTGTGACGTCAGCGCAGATCTAACGATTTTAATTTTTTTTTTACTAAAACGTTTGGTAGCACGCCGTGGTATATGCTGCTTTGCGCGAAACAAGTGCCGCACTTACACCTGCCAAATTATTGCTTCCAAATAAAGTCGTTAGGAACAGCGGAGATCCCAAAAAGTAAACAAAAGTAAAAGTCTTATATCTTGTAAACCGGTGAATATTTTTCGGAAAAATTTGGCAGATATTCGTTTTCGCAGTTTCGCTCTTTGTGAACCCAGCGACATCACTTTCCAGGGGCGGATCCAGAAAATCTCCAAGGGAGGGGCCATTAGAAACCAGGAGGCCCCCCCCATAATCCCACCTGTTGGAGGCCCCATCTTCCCACTTGTTGGGCCCCCCCCAAAAAAAACTGCGTCTATTGAGCTTATCTAGCTGTTCAGGCAACATCTCAACATCTGTGCAGGCTTGGAGGCCCTCTGTGCAGGTTAGGAGGCCCTGTAAAAGTGGTCATCTCTGTGAGTATAAGAGACCTCCAAGTTATGAAAAGCTTTACCAATCTTCTAACAAAGAAGTCTTCTCAGCTAGTCTTCTAAGAAATAACTAAGTGGGTAGGTTAAAAAAAACTCATCGGATTTCGGCCACTTTATTTTCAGGAGGCCCCCTTTTCAGCTTTTTAACTTTTTAACTTTTTATTTTATTTTTGAAAAAAAATCGGCCAAGGGGGGGGGGGCCATGGCCCCCATGCCCCCCCTTGTATCCGCGCCTGTCACTTTCATACCAATTCATTAACCCGCGCCCCGTAGGGGGTGGGGGTCGAAACCCCCCTGTCCTTTTCCGTCGATAACTCCTAAACGACTGCAGTGCAGATATCGTCACCAAACTTTCAGAGCCCCTCCGGGCCTCAATTTTACACATTGCGACTTTTCCAGAGGCTATGATAGGTTGGCCGCAAATGACGTCAGAATGACGTCATGTTCCGCCATTTTCGACAAAAAAAAGTTTCACGGGAACAGCTGTCAGGCCTACAGCTTTGAAGATACAGAAAAAAATGTTCAGGACATAAAAGGTGTAGAATTAACACTAACAGCGCTACAAAACTGCTATCTCAGATTTTTTTTTTTGATATCGGCCCCCTAAAATAAAAAAGTAAACTTTTGGATATAATACCCCCAAAAAAAAACCGAAAGTTTTTCGAATTTCGAAAAACCGGAGTATATACGATAGACCCTCCTACTTTCTATCCACATACCAAATTTGAGATTAATACCTCTTTTTTGGCCAAGTTATAGCGAAAACACTGTTAAAATTGATAGCGTCAAATTTTCACTCATTTTTTTTTTTAGTAATTCTACACCACGTTGCGCGAAACAAAGGCCACCATTAGACTGCCCGTTACGAGCTGCATCGAATTTATACCCATTTTACGCAAAAAGATCAACTTTGAAATTTGACCTAATTTGACCTGACCTTAACCAGAACATAATCTAAACTGGTCCCAAAGGGTGCCTGACCCACAGTGTACACTGTACAGTAGGTCTACAAAATAAGTCCTCTCCGTATCCGGGCAGGTGGCACCTGAGTAGCGCTCAGGCGCTAACCGCCCGCTGGTGACCCGCATAGTCGCATACGGAGAGGGCTTATTTTGTAGACCTACTGTGCAGCCCTCAGCAGACTGCGTGGTAGGTGCCTTGTGTGGCAACAAAATGCAAATGTTTGTTTTTGGGGCAAATATAAACTTTTTTCCGAACTAGAAGGAAAATGAATACGGTGATGATGCTAATCTAAGGCGCGGAGTCTTGCGCGTCTTACTGTTACAATTTGCGAATGACCGATAGCTTAGTATTTGCATTATTCTCGTTTTTGTCGAAAAAAAGAATACTTCCACGCAGTTTGCAGAGGGCTGTGTTAATGTCGTAAAATGTCGATCAAGTCTTAGTATACAGTAGGCAAACTTTACTCTGGTGTTCACAAAGCGGTTCTCCGCTAGGTTAACCCGCGCCGTGCTGGTGGTTGAACTTTCCGCCGAGTGCTGAGTGGGGGGGGGGGGGGGGGGGGTTCACGCCCCCCGTCTACCTCGGCTCTTAGGCCACGTAGCGACACGCGGTAAGCAGCAATCGAAAGAGCGTCAAACATAAGGAAGAAAACACTTGCGGAGATCCTCTCGTCGAGGCGTCATTTTTAAGGTCAGGTCAAAGGTCAGGTCACCAGAGGTCAGCAAAGGTCAAATTTGGTCCATTTCAATAATCTTGGAAACTGCCAGCGGCTAACTTGGGAACCAATAGAGCTACAGCGCCGCTGAAAAGCGCATTCGATAGCCCTTTTACAGACCTTTCTGAGTAATCTTCTCAGATTTGACCTCAGGTCAACAGTTTAGCCTCCAGAGGGCAAAAACTGCAAAACAGCCATTTTTACGAAAAAATGTTTTTTCGGCAATAACTTTTGACTCAAGAGAGCCACGACATTACTTATGGCTGTCAGGTCATATATATCAAAAATCCGAGATGTACATTTTATACATACTGTTACTCATATCAATCGCTGAAAGTTTCAAAGTGATCGTTCAGTCGGTGTAGCTATAGCGAGTCTTTGAACTTTTTCTGAGGTAAGGTCACTTGACGTGATCTGGTGACCTGACCTTGAACGATCCGGATCTGAAATTTTCACATGTGCGGAAAAGAGGTATGAACAGGTATACCAAAAACGGCTTGAGATATTTGCGAAACACCTGAGGGAGGGGGGCGTAAAAACGCCCCCCCTCCCCCCAGCACGGCGCGGTTTAAGGGGTAGGGGTCACCTTGGAATGTGTGTCATTGTGTTTTTAATATCAAATACAAACTGAGATGCTTACCTTTTTCTCCGCAAGCTTTTCCTTTCTTTTTAGCTTCATCGCCTTCTTTCTGTTAATCTTCTTGGGAATTTCCTCTCCATCCTCCCCTACCCTCCTTTTTTTGTTCCGCTTCTTTTCGTTGTCACTTTCTCGGCTGATCATTTTTGTTTGGCCGGTTTCTGGATCGGGCATGATATCCACATTATACTTGTCTTCAAATCGCGACTGGTGGATACGTTCCTGCGAAAAGAAAATAGAACTAGCAGCGAAACACGAATATGATTGAGGAGAGTTGATGGAGCGCGATGGCTGAGCTGCGCTCGGTCTCCGCTCAGTCCCGGTACGGACGTCAGCAGACGAACCTTGAGCGGCCGCGCGCGTCACGGCCCCGTGCAGAAAGCCGATCCAGCTGCAGCGGGACGCGCCGCCGGCAGTGGCACCCGGCGCCACCGCAGGCCACTAATCAGACCCTCACGTGCACGGCGGCCACCTTCCGTGAAACCGACCATACAGCACATCAGCCGCCACAGGTCGGCAGCGTCAGCAATGACCCACAGTGGCGTCCCGGATCAAGGCTAAAAATATCGGGTGCACATGGAACGCACTGCCGAACACCTGCTATACCACGGAAACGTGCGGGTGGCCAGACAGTTTGCTGACAGGCACCGGCTATTATTTTTGCGCCAATATTTCCCGAGCAGTCTGAAATTTAATCAGTCGTAATTTTACACGGGCACTTACAATAACCGACGTCACGCAGTGTCACTATTTTCATGCCTTCAAGTCTACATGAGGTCACACAGAGTGTTCATCCCTGACCATGGGTCAGAAGTAGAGGTGGCAAAATGTGGACCCGGGGACCCGGTCTATGGACCCGGTCTGGACCCGGATGGGTCCAGACCGGGTCCCCCAAAATATTTGGCCGGGTCCAACCGGGTCCTTCCATGGACCTGTACTAGTTACATGGTAAATCTAAATTGGTAATTGTAATTGGTAAAAATATTGAGCTTTTACAAACATCTTTGATTAACTTTTATTAATTCCAGTTCCAGTTTAGATGTTCCAGCAGTTAGGGCAAGTTATCTGGTAACATACTGGTCAGTGGTCAGTCTTGCTTCATTTCCCTTTTTTCCACCAAGTGCTAACAACTAACAAGAAACAATTCAACAAATATTTCACATGAACAAGACACAAGACCCAATAATACCTACTGGGAGCTGTGGCTGGAAATCTAATATTGATAACACAGGTAGGCATTGGTGTTTGGTAATTGGTAAGTATGATTGGAATCCATTAGCAGTGGACCAAAATGAAATTTAAGCGTCTTGCTGATGATAAACTCATACCTCAGAGATCTGGCTGATTCTGTCAATTTATGATACACAAAGTTTGAGATGATTTCTTAGTTCATACTTCTTACCTGCCTTTTTCAAATATTGAATGGGCATACCAAAATCAACATGCCAACCAGAAATCAATGTTCAAAGTTCAACCTTTAAAATAAGTGCATTAAATAATACACTCAGCTTCGTAGTTAGTTATATCACAACCAGATCACCACAAAACTGACCATGCGGCAACCCATGCGGTGTGTTGTTAATTGTTACGAAAACGGCGCATTCGTGACAGATGTGACACTTTAGTCTTTACGCACGCTAAACTACTGCATGAAGTTTTCAGTTTTGGAGCGCGTTCGGTAAGAAGACAAACTCTCCACACCGGCACATACTCAACGCCCGAAGCAATATAGATATAAAAACTACGCCAAAAACCAGCATTTAACGTCAGGCTAGGCTCATGAGTCAGCCCAGGACCCGTGGTCTTAACTTTTCCCCCAATCTCGGTACACTACATAGCCCTACTATGAAGCTAAGAGCGAAATGTAGTTTTCCATCTTACGAGTGTTTTCCTCTTGTCCACCTCCACAGACTGTTAGACAAACCCTTTCAGCACGTGAGATCTTTATTTCTTTGGGTACGTTTGTATGATGCATGCATCACAAATGACACAGCCTCTCTCTATGTATCTAAACTACTTTCCATGCTCCAACATTGCAGATAACCATTCACTTCTCCAGTCACCCTCACCACTCACTACACGACAGAACGAAGGGTAAAATAAAGGTAAAACAAACGTTAAATGTGATTCGTGAACAATAATAAATTAACAAAAAGCACTTCAACCCTTGGCTAATGCACCAGACACATCACAAAGACGATTGTCAATCGCCATACACTTTGCTGAAAGGCGCAAGCAGTGAGCCGCGCCAAACAGACTCGTGAGACTGAGAAAGACTTTCATGACTAAATTGAATGATACTCCAGCATCTAATCCCTCTGGTCTCAACCGACTCGACTCTACCGTCTTGTTACTCCAAGTCGACTACAGTAGCCATGCCCATGTTCGAGCTCACCAGGTCCCGGTTCTGTTTGATGAACAGCAGAGCGTCGACACATTCGGCCGAGAGACGGGCGCGACGCTCGTCCAGCGTGCGCCCTGCCAACGAGTTGGCTCGTTCCGAAGCGGTGTTGGCGGCTGGCGCTCCTAGCTGCCGTCGTGCGACCCTTGACAGCATGGGGTAGACGTTTGAGTGGGTGCGCCAGAACTGGAGGACGTCGTCCACTGCACCAGGGTGAGTCTCCATGTAGCGGTCCACTTCCCGTGCCGCCCGGCACTTGCTGTCGCTGGGCGTTGCGACTGCTTCCAGCGGGAGCGGGTCATCGACATCCTCCAGCTCCAGCTGGACGAGGACCCTCGAAGGGCCCGCCTCCTGCGGTCGGCGTCGTGGCTGCTGCCGCACCGCGTCTGCTTCGGCCGCTGCCGCCTCCGTCATGGCATTTCGTACCGCAACCCGCTGTGGCTCCTGAAGGAAGCTGAACTGTTTCAGTGTTCGGTACTTTGGATGGAGGGCAGCGCAGAGAAGGTGCCATGGCGATACGGACACCTTCTCTTTCACAGCCTCCAGAAGCACAGATTTGAAGGCGGCCTTCATCCGGCTGTCCTGCGCCTCAGGACTGAGATGACGCATCGCCAACTGGTACACGACGGGTACCAGATTTCCAGTGGGCGTCTTTGCGCTCTCCAGCTGAGCGCTCACGGAACCGAAAAATGACAGCACTTCCGTCAGGTCGGTGATCTCAGACGGAGAGACGACCATAAGAAAATCGTCCACCTCTTGCCTGTGTCTGAAGTCTTTCAGCTCATCATAGATGGCAAGCACAGACTCCAGCATGATGAGGTCCGAGTTCCATCGAGTTGGAACACTCTGTTTCACAGCTGAAGAAAGTGCCTTGTTGAGGCCACTTTTCTTCGCGAACTTCACCATCCGCTTGGTGCTGTCCATGATCGTGCGAATTGGACAATCTCTTATGTCTTCTTTTGTGGCCTTTGTCACCGCCAAGTTTATGGCATGACAGACACATCCGTCCCAATCGTGCTCTTTGAAGGCAGAGATCATGTTGGCTGCATGGTCAGTTGTGAAGTGCACGTGGTTTTTGTACCCAAACTCATCCAGCACTGCCATGGTTTCTTCACGTATGTTTACAGCGGTGTGACGGTCCTCACTCATGCGCATAGCCATGAGCCGATCGCACATATTGAAGTCACTGGTGAGGTACTGCGCAGTTACAGCCATGTAGGATTTGGTGGTATTTGTGTCAGTCCAATGATCCACCGTTACTCCGACACTTGGCTGCCCTTTCAGCTCGACTGATAGTTTGGTGCGCAGGTCCTCCGCTATCTGCTTGACATATGCTTTCACAGTGTTTCGGGTGGGGAGGATGCCCTCTTTTCTGACATCAACTGCACCGAGCTTTGCACCAACTGACACAAACGCCTCAGCTTGAAGAGCAAAACCCTCACCTTCACAGCTGCTCAGAGGACGTATATCATACGCCGTTGCCAACGCCACAGCACGAGCCACGTTCTTCTTCATCTTTGATTTCAATCCGTCTGGTACCTTCTTTTTCAGATAGCCGGAAAGCGAGAGTTGCCCAACGGACGTCTTTTGCTTCTTGTCATGCATGGAAAGGTGCTTTCGCAGAGTAGTGGTGCCAGATCCATCACCTCCAGTGGTGAAAGACAACAGAGTTTGACACTGCATACAGCTAGCAAACCCTGCATCTTGCCCGTCGACTTGCACTACACAAAACTTTTCCCATACAGAGGACCTTCCCCCCTCTCTAGGAACAAGTTTTACTCGATCGCTGTCCTCTCTCAGCAGCTTTTTTACGTCGTCGGCCGAAACCTTCGGACGCTTCGCAGGTGGTTCACTCATGATTCACTAATCACTTCCCAGTTTCGTTTCCAGCACTCATCTGAGGCTTGCACTAGCAGTTAGCACTGCCTCGAGCGCAGCCCAGACTCCTGAGTGTCCCCAATTTTCAAAACACGCTTATGCGTGACGTCTGTGACGCATGTGTTCTTCATCACACCATGTGGCCAATTTTGCCTAATCAGATGACATTTCGTGCAATATCAACTTTTGTAAGAAATCAACGCAAAATAAGGCCGACGCAGGCCGTCTCCAGTAAAATAAATCATTTGATTTTTTGTTTTTGCCAAACACCAGCATTTGTGTTTCAGATTTAAATTTAGAAATCACAAATTGTGCAAAATGTATGCAGAACAGTAGGCCATTTAGCATCGGGTATCCGCACGGAGGAATTGTATGCCATTTTCACATATTTGAAGCTATTTTGGGAAAGTAAATACTACGACAGTTTTTACCTAGATTTACTTCTGGATATGGGCGACTAACACTTTGGCGATCATCACTGTTTTGCAGTACTTTAGCGCCGATCTGACTTTCCTCGCAAAGCAGCAATTTAAAATCCTTGAATTCGTACACGTGTCGCGGATTCTGGAAAGTACCTCGCGAAATGTTTCTTTTTTAAACTTTTATGGCTAGGGACTGGGGCTCATAGTAACAATTTTTTGTAATGACTAATTTTCTCATACGTCGAAGCGGAGTATCTTTTCCCAAGAATATTTTAATCCAGGTATGTATATTGGGCTTGTTCTGTGCTGCTAACCTTGCTCCGTTTTGACTCTGGTATTGTCTGCAGCTGTAGCAGGGGGCTTTGCATGAAATTTCATGGTTCCTACTTCCTAGACATTCATATATGTTGCGTAGTATGCTAGTTTTGTTTTCAGCAATTGACAAAACCTGTGACATGTTAATTTCAAACTGACGTTGAAGCATGATACTCTGAGTTCTGACTCTGGAGTCTGGGCTGAAA